TGGTTAAAATGACTGGTGGGTAGAGATAGATGGGGGGAAGGAGGAACCAGTGTGCAATAGCAGGTATCTGGTGCCTGACATGGGGCGAAGAGGTTATCTCCCTTTCTCCATTAACCTGCTCAGTTAATCCTCTGCCCCCCAGAGTTTTCAATACTGGCAGGTGTCTCCCAGAAACCTTTTTCGGTTACTCCCCATATTCATCCTGTACATGGGACGCTGGACCCGTTTTCGAGCAGGTGATGCTCCCCACCAATGGATGGAGCCTCCCCCCAGGTGCTAGCGGTGTCTTCTTTTACCAGCACCACTAGCACCGAAAGGGGCTAAAAAAAAAAAAACAAAAAAAAAAAAACAAAAAAAGAAGATAGCCCTCATTGATACCAAACCACGAGTTCACGTGAACCGAAGTAGTGCTCTTATCGATATACGCAGTAAGAGCATTTTGATTTGGCCCTAGGCCAGTAGCGAAAGCGGCAGGCCATTTGAAAAGGCGCAGTTCCAGCCTCGCGAGTCTTGGAAGGTAGCCTTGTCAACTTAAGCTCATGGGAACTGGCATTTTGGGGCTCGCCACACAGGCTTTCGAACGAAGGCATTTTTCGAAAGGTGTCAGACTTTTTTCGAAAGTCTGCTCGTCGAAAGGAACCCCCCCCCTCGCCACACAGACTTTCAAAACACCCAGGGCTTTCTATATATGCACATTAAGGCCTGGCTCATTGCTCACTAGGCGTGTAAAACGAGAGTCTGAATCTTTGCCTAGAACATGGAAAGATACTTCGCCATAATTTTTGAGTAGTGGAGCCAGGCCCTTGGAATCGCCCCTTTTTCTTCTTTTTTTTTTTGCCGTTTCGAGTGGGCCTTTTCAAAAGACCACTTGAGGTCTTTCGAGGAAAGGCTGGTGACAGGCGGGAGGATCTCATCTCTAGTAAAGACTTTAGACGCCGGCCCATCTGACACCTTTCGAAACTTTTTCGAAAGAACTGGTTTCGAAAGGCTGTGTGGCGAAGACACAGCCTCGATTTTGCACGTTTCGAAAGCCTGTGTGGCGAGCCCCTTTAAAATCAAACATGAGATAGTGGACAGGTTTCGTTCTTTTGCCAGCAAAAGCTTTTCTTTATTTTTTTTTATTTTTTATAAGACGATGCTCCAATCTATTCGTGGGGAGCAACACGGCTGGGAACCGGGCCCAGCGTCCCTTATCAGAATACATACTAGTAGTAATCTATAAGGCTTTTTTTTTTTTTTTTTTTTTTGAACCCGAGAGAATGCTAGGGGTGCTGGTAAGAGCAGACACCACTAGCATTTCCCAGGGGGCTCCATCCATTGGTGGGGAGCAGCACCTGCTGGAAAGCGGGTCCAGCATCCCTGGACAACATTTAGTTTGCTTCTTCAAACGAATATGCAGTTGTAATGACAGCCAGAAGGCGGCCTCATCTGTTAGCGTGGAATTTTGGCAGGCAGCACTACGCAGCAATCTGAGCTGCTTGCCTACCTAACAGTGTGCTTCTAGCTGAATCCTGTTCCATATCGTGCATTATCGGTTTTGTAGTTCATGTTTTGGTTGTGGCCTGCATGCTTTCACAGATCAGGGTAATCTATAAATTCTTTGTGCAACTGCTTGCCTACCTAACAGCATGCTCATCAATAACGGTGACCTCTTGACCATATTCAGTGATAGAAATATTAGGTTTACAGGGGAGCAGTTGCATTGACTGATGAAAGGATATGGGTCACAATTGGCCATGTCTTCGGGTAAACACCCAGAGACCAATGGTTGAACCAAAAAAAAAAATGAAGTTGCCATAGCAAACCCTCTGTATGTATATTAGAGCGGATCAGGTAGACTACCTTCTTCGCCCGAACATAACGTATCTGCGTTGTATTCGAGTTTCAAAATTCGAAAAGAAATTGAATCGAACGCATATGCGTTGTATTCGAAATTTCGGGCTATTTGAATAGAACGCATATGCGTTGTATTCAAAATTTTGGCCGACTCAAATAGAACGCATATGTGTTGTATTCGAATAGAACGCACGCTATGCGTTGTATTCGTTGACAATGCATATGCGTTATGTTCGGGGGAAGAAGGTACGATGAACACCTACCGAAGATAATCAATGCACATAATAACTATGTACTAATACAACACGATGAACACCTACCGAAGATAATCAATGCACATAATAACTATGTACTAGTACGACACCCAACGAGCTGCATGGGAATGGAAGACCCGCAGATGCATAGACTTCCGGGATCTTGATCAGATTCAATGGCTACTGCCTGACACTCGTAAGTATGCGCTTTTTTTTTTTTTTTTTTTTTTTTTTTTTTTTTTTTTGAGAGAACAACCCGATCGGATGCTAGGTGTGCCGATAAGAGCAGACACATCTAGCACCGTCTGGGAGGCTCCATCTATTGGTGGGGAGCAGCACCTGCTGGAAAACGGGTCCAGCGTCCCTTTGATACATCTTACAATACAGAGATTGCTGTTCGTTGTTCCCCGGGGCTGTAAGTATGCGCTGAAGTATGAGAAGGACCTTTTTTTTTTTTTTTTCCATCTTTTTTTTTTTTTTTTTTTTTTTTTTTTTTTTTTTTTTTTTTTCAACAACACACAGAAGGACCTACAGAAAGTAACTGAAAGCATGGAACATGCCCTCAAGATGCTACAACAAGCTAACAGGCATCGGAGACCTTCGCAGTTGGCAGTCGGTGATCTAGTACTGCTAATGTCTAGTAGTGAATTGGTGCCTGAAGAAGGGATTTCTTAGGATCCGCTACTGGCATACAGACGATCATGGAAAGTTTGAGATATTGAAGGAGACGCTGACGGCTCGTCCTACATAGTAGATGCCCCTCCACACTTATCCACCTATATCCAATCTTCCATGCCTCAAAGTTGTTGCTTGTTAACTTAGTCTCAGGGAATTCCTTCCATTCATGCAGTCCGTCATCCCTCCTGACATGGATGGTATCATGGTAGTTACGACATTGATCGAATACTGAATCAGGCTCTACTCCAAACATGAACCAATAGAATAGTATGGCCCAGTCAACAGCTTAGAGTGAGATGGCAGCATCAAGATCCAGAGGAGGATAGGTGGTTCCCTGAAGAGCAACAATGTGCGCCGCACATTGTCTCGCACTATGAACAAGCCTGTAGGGGAATACACGAGTTTGATAGGTAAAAGGATGATTTTTCTTGGAGGACCTCGAAATTAGATCGGTGGGGGTGAAAGGACCCATGCATCTGGATGCCTAGTCCAGATATCCACTCCCAAGCTCCCCTGTACTATAGACCACTCCGTAGGTGGGGAAGTTCCCAACAGCATTGTACTGAAACAGGTAGGCCAGGTCGGTATGGTCTAGAAGCCTGTAGGGGTCTGTACTACCAAATAGTTAGGTACCAACCACGGGGCAAGTCCTGGTCAAGTAGCTACTCAGTCCCAGGAAAGAACTCTTTCCTACCACAGTCAGAATCATTGCTGGCCGCAGCCAAGGCTGAATGGACCGGCGTCACAAGTCTTATTTTGAGACTGTGGCAACTACAAAAGTCAAGGTCGCAGCCAGCATCAACACTTTCTTGGCATTCGTGTTCTTGACGAAGCGCGGCTGTGTTATTGTGTGACTTGCCACACATAAGAGAGCCAAGAGTGAGAGTAGTAGTAGTCAATGATGTTCAAGCTCTAGCAGAGAGAAGATGCTCCTATAGAGATGAAGACATTCAGAGAGGGATTGCAAGGCCTCAATGAACACACACACACACACACACACACACACACACACACACACACACACACAC